CAAAGGGAAGCACCAACACAGACGGGCACAGAGACCAACGCTTTGCTGTCCCTCGGCGAGGTTGGCAAGGAAGCAGGAAAAGCTGAGAACCGGCTTTCCGGGGGGGTCCCTTTAAGCACGAGCCTCAGATAGCCTCAGACAGCAGCCACACAAAGCAACTACTGACCTGATGCCCTGCCAGAACCGGTTTCAGCTGCCCTTAAATGCCCCCCTGCGTCCAATCAGTGTGGACGCGCTAGTTCGAATTAGCAAAACGCTAATTCGAACTAGTTTTTAGTTCTAGACGCGTTAGTTCGAATTTGTTTAGTTCGAATTAACTAATTCGAACTAAGTTAGTTCGAATTAGCGCTGTAGTGTAGACATACCCTAAGAGTCCATATCGCTGCACTGACTGTGTTTTGGCAGCCAATAGAAGGGTTTTCGCTATTCGCCCACCCTCTCACCAAGAGATTTCTCAAGGGCCTGTTGAACCTTAATTCTCCCTTGCGCGCTCCTACCCCCTTCTGGAATCTGGACTTGGTGCTTTCAACTATAACAACTCACCTTTCGAGCCTCTGGGCACCATATCTCTTCAGACCCTTACCATGAAGCTGGTCTTACTTATCGCCATCACATCAGCGCGCAGAGCGAGTGAGATCGCGGCGTTAATGGCATCGCCTCCCTACACTGTCTTTAATAAGGGTAGTGTTGTTTTAAGGCACCATCCAGCCTTTACTCCTAAGGTTTGCTCGGAATTTCACCTTAACAAGCCAATAGTATTACCAGCCTTTTACCAAAGGCTCATACTTCACCTCGTGAGGCAACACTTCATTCACTAGATATATGTAGAGCCTTAGCCTTTTACTTGGAGCATCCTAAACCATTTAGGAAAACTGATACGTTATTAGTTTCTCTCGCTGAACACTCCAAGGGACAACCCTTATCTTCACAGAGAATCTCCAACTTGATTGTGTCCTGTATAACCCATTGTTATGCAATACGAAATGTGCCCCTCCCACAGTGCTCTAGGGCCCATTCTACTAGAGCAGTAGCTACCTCTACTGCTTTCCTGAAAGGGGTTTCTCTTTCTGACATATGTAGGGCTGCCACCTGGTGGTCTTATGAAACATTCACCAAGCACTACGTTATCCAATCAAGATGGCTTTCGGATACTTCCGTAGCATCTGCAGTGCTTTCTTCCTTACATGCATAGTGAAGTTCGAATCCCACCTCCTTCATTTGGGTGGGTACTGCTACACAGTACCCTAGTGTGGAGCACCCACGGGGACATCACTCAAAGAAGAAGGCGAAGTTACTCACCTTGGTGCAGTAACTGTCGTTCTTCGAGATGTGTGTCCCCATGAGTGCTCCACTACCCACCCACCTCCCCACTTCGGAGTCTGTTTCATTTTTTTACAGATCCTGAAGCGGGTTCGAGGGACTGGATTAGACCAGATTGTGCAGCACGGGAGAGCAAAAACGCCCCAAGGCCCCGCCCCCCACGCATGCACAGTCTAACTGACTACGGCTTTGAACATCTCCCTCCTGCGGCACTGGGGCAAGCCCAGCACCTAGTATGAAGCACCCACGGGGGGACACATCTCAAAGAACGACAGTTGCTGCACCGAGGTGAGTAACTTTGCTTTATTCCAAAGTTATGCTGCTGTATAGATGTATTCTTAGAGATTAACAAAAATATATGTATAGAATCATGAGCTTTTGTGGACAAAACCTACTGCGTGTCTGAAAAGTGGGTTTTGCTTACGATTCTATAGATATAATTTTGTTAGTCTCTAAGGTGCCACAGGACTACTCATTTTTTTTAAAAGTTGTTTTTAGAAATAAATTATTATTGCTAAGTTTTAGAAAAAATATATGTAGGTAAACATGAAATGGCAAGTAAGTGTATATCTATTGCACATATGCAAAATACAGTTTTATATGTCAGAATCCCCTAAACAATCACTAGCTGATGAGAAAGAGTGAAGAAAATGCACTTGCACATATTGGGGTTTGCAGAGATTTGTGGGGTATGACAAACAGCTTGATTATCAAACGGATACAAACAATTTTAGATGTCTCTAAGTCTTGGGAGAAGTTTGACCTCTTTATAAGAGGGAGGATCTTACAGCTGATAAACCTAAGAGCTATATCCTTTCATGTTCTCTCCAATTGAAATGAGTTCTCCATGTGCTGAATCTGGTAAAAGATTTGGGAAACGCCTAGTGTGCTGGAGAGCAGGGCTTCTCTGCAGCAGGATTTGGAAAATGGGACAATATTGGGGCTGGGAAAGAGCATGTGTGGGACTGATCCACTGTAAGGAGAGGATACTGATTTCAGATGTTGGGGTGAGGGAGTGAAAGCAGGAGAAAGTGGGTGCAATCTCAAGGCTTTTTCAGCTATATGGAGGACACCCATGCAATGTGTTTTGTACTTATTGTTGATAATTTAATTTTTGTCTTTTTAATCTATTTTCTACTAATAGTTACTGTTGGTGATGTCTTGGGAAAGTATCACATTGTATCTAACCTACTGAAGTTGCTGACTTACAACACTCTGGATTTAGGAGAAAAAATTAGTATTATTCTTACAATTGGGCATTGCACAGAAAGCTGTGGTAAGAGTCTGATTTCTTTTATGAGTTTTGGTTTGTAGCATAAACTACTTCAATGTCACACTCCTCAGCAGTTTTCATTAAAATGTTGATGCTTTAAAGTTCTACCAAATAAAGTAATTTGGTATTAAAATGCAAAGAAAATGTTTAGTTTTCTGCAGTGTTTTATCTTTTTGGTTTTGAAGAGCTGTAAATACAACACATAGTATCTTCAAAAGTTAAAAAAAAAAGTAGAGTCTCATGAGTACAGAGTACCAAATCCAGTTCACCTTATTTACATACGGTGAAATTCACCCTGTTCAGAGTGCCAGAACAAGATCTGTGCATCACTTAAGTTCTATGTAAGTTCTATTATAACTGCTTCAGTAGTGCTTGGTGTATGGATGTTGTGTTGACCCTTTGCACAGAGATTATTTTCACATACATATAATCTTAACAGAATTTAATATTCTTCTTCGAGTGATTGCTCATGTGCATTCCAGTATAGGGTGTGTGTGCGTAGCATGCACATGCCGTCAGAAGTTTTTCCCTCGGCAGTACCCTTAAGGCCAGCAGGGAGCCCCTTGGTGTAATGCCAGTATACCGGTCCATATATACCTCTGCTGGCCCCCTCACACACTCAGCTCCTTCTTACCACGGTGACCATCGTTGGAACATCCCTCAGCTCTTCAGTGTGATCGTTGTCTTCATTGTTCTTCTTCAATCTTTAGTTAATCTTCTGCTAAGTGTCTGCAATTTAAGTTAAAGACTTTTTTGTTGTTTCTGTTGATTGCTCCCCACCGCAGTGCACCGTGTGCCCACGGCAGGGCATGCCCAGCCTGCAAGGCTTTAAGCCCTGCAAAAAGTGCAATAGGCCTACGCCGCGCAGTGACCCACACTCATTGTGCTTACAGTATCTGGGAGAAGCACACCTTACAGACGCCTTCAAGCCCAGGATGAAACGTGAGAGGGAGTCGTGCCTTAAGATCCTCCTCATGGAAGCGACTCTCCGACTGGTACTGGCACCGGATTCGGCACTGGCCTCCCGGAGCGCACCGGCCTCGGTGCATGATGGTTCCATGCACCATGCCTCTCCGGCACCGCTCTCAATCCTCAGAAGAAGAGGCGGCCTAACGGATTCACCTAAGCATGTACCCTCCATGCGCCTTCCAGTGGGGCACGCGGCATTGATGAGCCCGGGCCTTGTAGGTCGGGCAGGCCTGCCTCCCAGTGAGAGGACATCAGCTCTCTGGAGGACTTCCCAGAGCCATCCGCACCGGAGGTCTTGGAGGTAGCGAGGGTTCTAATTGAGTCCTCCCTTTTCCTTCCTCCTCCGACTCCGGCACCCTCTAAGTGTCACGGGGATGCTCAGCACTGATTGCCTTCTGGGGCGACCGAAGACATGGTGCATGAGGGCAGACATCGCCCGGCCCCGATGGCACCACATGCGGCACCAGCCGTCGAGGCACTGACACCCCTGGTACCGTCCAAAGACACGGCACTGGACTTAGTGCGGCAACATCGCCCAGCTCTGTCACCTCCCCGGGATCCATCGGCCTACCTCCGTGCGGGACCCCATGCGGTCATGCCTCCTCCACCACCTTGACACTGTAGCAAGCTGGAGTCCATGTCTTGGCACACCGCAACTCCTTCAGCATCTGCGTCAGCACTGCCCTGGTCCTCCTAGGAGTATTCGTCCGACTCCGAGGCGGAATCCGTCCAGTCCTTGAGGGCCTCCAGGTCTCGCTCACAGTGCTGCTCCCGCTTTCAGCACCATAGTCCTCTGCTCCCGTACCAGAAACAGTGGGCTCAGCACCCATGGTGAAAATGTGGCCCCCTCAGCCTCCGGGGCAATGGCCCTTCTGGACTCCCTGGGCTTATCACCGGAGCCAGGGCGTGGACCCTCCCAGACTGGCTTCTGTCTCTTCGAGGCCACGAGTTCCTCCGTCGGCGACACCTCTGGTCAGGTCCCCCACCTCGGGATGTTCTCTACCTCTGGGCCAGTCGTCCCCAGGATCAGGGAGGAGTACAGCTCCTGTGAGCCAACCTCCCCCCTCTTCGTCCATGGACACGTTGGATGATGCAGGTCGCGAGGATGCCCTGTGGGTGAGGTCCTAAAGGGGTCATCGTCCTCCTCCCCGGAAGAGGTGTTAGCCGACTTCACCCCGTCCATGCCCTCCATGGATGCTAGAGCCCATCAGGAGCTTCTCCTCCGCCTGGCCCAAAGTTTGGGGGTTCAAGTGGAGAAGGTTTTCAATGACTCGGATCCTACTGTTGTCATTCTGCATGCCGACACCCCCACTAGAGTGGCTCTACCGGTCAACAAAACAGTGGCCAAAATCTCCAAAGCCTTGTGGCAACCCCCCGCCTCCATTCCTCCAACAGATAAGTGGGGAGAAAGGATGTACTTTGTCCCCTAAGAGGGTAACAAACACCTCTTCTCTCACCCTCCCCCAGGCTCATTAGTGGTGCAAGCCGTTAATCAAGGGAGAAACAAGGGCAGCCTGCTGCCACCCATAAGAACAGGGAGGCCAAAAAGTCTTGGGACGGAAAGTCTACGCATCTGGGGGCATCCAATATTGCATTGCCAACCAGCAAGTCCTCTTGTCCCATTACACATATAACACTTGGGCATCCATGGACAAGTTTACAGACTTGCTCCTTAGGGACTCCTGCTCGGAGTACAAGGCTCTTCACAAAAAGGGGAGAGCAGTCTCCAGAGTGGCTCTCCAACAGGCTCTCGACATGCAGACACCGAGTGATGGCCACCGGGTGGTTCTGCACCGTAGTTCATGGGTTTTGGGGTGCCACTAGAGCTCCAAAACACCATTTAGGACCTTCTGTTCAAGGGCCCCTCACTCTTTTCGGAGCAGACTTGAACAGAGGCTTCATGATCTCAAGGATACCAGGGCTACGTTAAAGTCCTTGGGCCTGCACACTCCTGCTACTCAGAGGCATATCTACTCAAATTGGAATGTTCCTAGAGTGCCTCCCTAGGGCCCACACCCCTCCTTCGCCCACCGTAGGAGCAGGAGTGGCAACGGCAGGGGGAAGACGCGCCGGCCCTGGCCCC